TAAATTAAATATTTTTTCCTCAATGGGAGCGTCTGTTGATAAAAGTTCCGAAGTTTTGTTCAAAGTCATTAAAAGTATTGATGCTTTTTTAAGGTTGTGTGCTGATTTTCACACTAATAATGTTTTACTTTTATTCTAATTACAAATTAATTTTCAATTAGCAAAGGATTGTTTTCACACATTAAATATTAAAAAATATATTGATTTTAGCCTTCTTAATTGCTTTTTTATTGCAATTTTACTTCTATGACACAATTGTTCAAGAAACAAAAAAAAAATATTTAATTTAATAAATTCTTTTCACTTATAGTAGATTGATTGTAAAATAATTAAGTTTTCTTTGTATTTTAAATTCAAAATGTCCAAACGTTAAATTCAAAATTAATACACTTTAGTATGCTTTATTAGAAAGTATTACGTATTTTAATTAAAATATGTCAATATTTATTCTCCAATAAGTCTGAGATTAAAATTAATTCCATTTTGGCTTTAGATATATCTTTCTTAGTCGTAATAAATGACTACTTAGTAAGTTATCAAGTTTGTCCCCATTACCCCCATAGCTTGTCTACTCTAACCCTGTGTAGTGGGGCTATAGTGTGAACAAACTATGGGACAAGCCGGCATAAAACATTTTTAACCTTTTTTTAAACCTTTTTTAAAAATAATATGAAAAAACCACTAGATATGTAAGTAATGCGTGTATGTAATTAAAGTGATATCTAATCATATTGCAGATAAAAACTTTTCTGGACTTACAAGAACTATCTGATTAAGAAGAAACTATCTAGTTGCTAACGATGCCTTAGAATATCTCATTGTTACAAGGATACAGTTAACCTAAATCTAGTTAATTTAGTTCTCATAAATCAGAAAAAAATTCGATAAGTCATACTGTGCATACAAAGAAAAATTTATTTATCGATAACTAATAGTACAGTTATAAATCCTGGAAGAAGAAAAAATATTATCAAATAAAAATCATTTAAATAAATACGATATTTTTAATTGAACAAACATAGGTAATTATTCTTTATAATTCTCATATGTAATTAAATTCAGACAATGTTAAGCAACAAAAACTTAATTTCCCTCTCGCTACAAATTATTTATGTTATTTAATGCTGTGCAAACTACACGAACAACTTCGTGATCTTATTTCAGTTCATTGTGAGACCAAATTTATTGAATGTTTTGAAATATGTTCTTCTTTGCATCGATATTTGGGACGTGCATCTAAATTTAGGATTAAGAAGCTGTTTTGAAGAATATTGTAGCGATAAATGTATACTTTCAGTTTATTGATTCCGGCATGAAATTTATGAAATTGTTTACCCATTTTCTAGTAAATAATGAAACGTATTTTTATTCTATGCCTTATTGTAATCTCATGTGATTCGTTAAATTTTTTATTGAAATCCTTCATGCAACTTCCATATTTAAAAGGCATTATTTAGTAGGTTCTTGATTAACCGAGATCCAGCCATCAACTATATCAGAGAGCTTCAGTAACGGATTTTATAAGTAGTATGAGCAGATTATTTAAAACGCGAACCAGTTGTGCGCATGAACCCAAATTCTATTTTAAAAGTACTTGAGATAAATTTATCATTTATATTTGAGAATTGAATCTGTATAGTGGTTGACAAGTAAATAAAACTAATAATATTCCAAAATTAAAAAATTTTTTAGACATATATTTGCTACCACTTTCTAATTTTTAATAGATTTTGCATTAAGTGGCTCTTTCGTGTACCAACTGGTTTATCTTCTTAGTGGTCTGATCGGACCTATACCTATAAAAATCCGTGTGGTGGCTTCTAACAGTTGTGGTTTGTTACAAAAAGTAAATAAAAAAACTTTTTTATTTGGTTTAAAACATAATTTGCGCTTGTGGATTGAAAACAATTGAAACAAATAAATTTTCCTCAAGAAGTTGTTCTTTCACTTAAATTTGCATACTAAAATTCGTCATGAAATAAATAAAAAACGAAACAGAGATTTATCGTTTTCAACAAATAAGATGTAAAGTACTTTTATTATACAATTATACATTTAAATAACCATTAAAACTAAGTTATCATTCTTTTCCTTTTGGATTTAATGAAACTATTGATAACCTATTCTGTTAAACTATAATGCTAACATTTTATATTTTTAGCTTTTTTATCTCTTAAAAGTTTCATGAACAGTTGCATAAATTCGATTATTTGAGATATTTACAAATCCAGACCGACCATCTACGTTGATCAAGAGTCCACAGTATAATATTTTATATCAAACACATCTCTTCCCGTTTTCGAGAATGAATAAAAAAAAAGCTCATATGAATTAAACAGTATTTTAATGGTACACATGTTTTGTTTAATTTCATTGAATATTTGTCTTCAGAATCAGAAGGAAAAGTGACTTTGTTCCGATAAGAGATTTTCCTAATGATTGTTACAGATTTTATTGTGTGTCCTATAGAAAATTAAAAAGGGGTAGCCAATTTACTTTAAATTAACATACAGAAGAATTTAATTTAAAGCAAGCAAAATATTTAGATTTCGCTTCATTTTAAAAACAAGACTGTGATTGTTTTAAGGCAAAATATTGTTATATACTTGGTAAAAATAGCTTAGTAGATAAAATATCTTGCTTCATCGAAAAATAAACAGAAAACATCCTAAGTATCCTACCACTATTTTATTTTTAATAGGACCCTGTGACTACTTATAGCTGATTGCAGAAATGGTTTCGTGAAATTCATAAATAAAAACATAATGTGAAAGACATAATGTAAAGATAATTTAAACAACCTAATTTTCATTCTCTGCCGAGTACTTTTTATAGAACGATAAAAACTAGTGACACAATAATTATATCAGTTTTTTTAGTCGATTTTGGTTTAAAAATGTGATTCTTGTCACCCAAATCATGATCTGCTCTTTTTAGCGTAGCTGGGCGCTTGAGGCCTAAAGGGGCCCTTTTCCCATTCCTCTAGCAATTTAGATGCATAAGATTCCCAAAATTTCTTATTTTGATCTGAAACCATTAGCAATATTTTTAAAACTGAAGTGGTAGTCTCTTCATAAATTTTTAATGTATTTACTCCATTTAAACACTTTTAAATCAAAAATTGAATTCCTTTAATTAATATAGCATGATGTAATGTTTCACAATTATCACGTTTAAAGTGAAATTTATGCTAAATTTTAATAAATTTTTAGAAATTCTAGGACTAATATATTGACCTCGGTGATTCGTTTTGTCCAACTCTAATAAATATATAGCATAAAAGAGTTGTTGAGAGAAGTCCTTTTTCTCTAATACTCGTTTTCAGCTACAGTGAAATCTCCAAGAAAAACCACCTCTATATAGCGTACTCCTCTATTTACGACCACTTTTGGAAGGCACGGAATTTTTTCGATTGACTTTGTGTTGAAGAAAACCTTTAAAAGAAACCATCAAAGACGGGAGAGACTAGATTTAGGAGTGACTATCCCAGCGACAGGGTAAACCTCTGCACCAAATGTGAAAAAGGTGAAATAGGAAAACGCGAAAAAATATCAAAACAAAACAAGTAAGTCGTTTAAAATGTATTCAAAATATTTGTGTGAGTCTCTTATTTAGAGTCATATTCTTTAGTCAGAGTGCACAAAAGACGATGCTATCAATAATTTATTTTTGGAGTTGAAATTTAAATTAGAATAAAAAAAAGTTCTTTTCGAGAAAACTAAGAGTCTCAAACAAACTTTTTTAAAGCTAAGTAATTTTTATGATATAAAATTAAATGCTAATTTAAACAAAAGATCATGATTATTTATTTAAAATAGTTCTATTGTTCATAATTGGTAATTTTGTTTTTACACATTATATCAGTAGAGATTATTTTTGTTGACGCGAAGTTTTGCTGTTGATTCATTTACACCGTTTTTCTGACGCGAACAGCACTGACATTTCCACACCCGGAAAATGATACTGACTGAAATTAAAATCGTTTGCAAAAAATCAAGTACCTTCGATAACATTTTGAAGACAATGGACGAAACCCCTAAGAACGACCAACCTCCATTAACGGCCATTTTACTGTGGAACAGAGTGTGGTCGCTTCTGAGAGGTTTCACTGTATGTATTCGTATTTCGATATTACATTCAAGCTACACGACGCTTTAAAGTGGCAATCGCTAATAAACCACCCTATAGAAAAAATTTGCAAACTGTAAATAAAACACACGATCCAAATCGATGTTTCCGTTCAAAAGTAGTTAATAAAAAGTAGCAATGAGAGAGATAGAGAATGTTGCCAGATGTAAATATTAGCATACATGGTGAAATTTTTTAAAATAAAAAATACATATTTAATAAATAATGATAAAAACCGTTCCATATTTGAATTGTTATAAGTCTCTTCAACGAGTGAAATTACTCTCATTTATTTCTTATTAAATCTCACAATTTGTTTTCTTTGGGCTAATTTTTTTCCCGAGTACTAATGATTATTTTTCGAAATCCTGGTAATCATCTATTTCCTTACGATTAACTCATTAACAAAATGTTCTTACATAAAACTACAATAATTTTATATTATTAAACTAAATGCTCGGTGCTTTATTGTGGAAAATATTGACGTAAAAGAAGAAATAAACAATGATGAATAAAAATTTAATTATGGGGGCTGGCAAGCGGAGTGTTCAAGTATAACAAAAAAATATTATAAAAATAGATTATTTGCGATATTTACTGCATAACTTATCTAAGGAATAAACCTAAAATTATAAGCATGAATCTATAAACAAATGTCGACTGAAATCATATTACATAAATAATAATAATTTTGTTTTTAAAAAAAGGACCTAATGGATACCTCATCTGAGGGATTTATTATTCTACCCAACTTGTAAAATTTATTCTCGCATCTGTTTTACAGTACGATATTTTAATTTCTGAGAGCGCATGCGTTTTCATTCGTTATGATGCCAACGCAGTCAAAAATAAAACAAAAAGATGAACTGGAACAAATCCTCCCCATCGAGCTGTTTGCCGGTAGAGTAGTTACGGGGTTAGTAGCATATCGTTTGGTGTCGGAAAACTTTTTGAGAGGAGGAAATTTTTTTCCCCATCTTCTACTCGCTTTATCCTGACACAGATTCATCATGCCAGCTGGAAAACACGTGGATTTGGATTAGATATTTTTGAGATACCAACATCAGAAGTTGTCACAAATTTTATTTTCTAAATATAGTTGACTGAAAAAGTATAATAATTCTTTAATATAACGTTAAACTATGCAAACGATTTATATAATTTGTGTTTTATAATTATTATTCTAAAAAAAATATCGTCTGCGTTATTTGACACCAAGCTAGGACTTTATTTAAGTTTGGAGAAATTTCATAAGTACAATGATGTCAAAAAGTGATTATCATTTTTGCCAGAGGTAAGGAACATTTTTAGCCTGTTGCTTTTTAAATACTGAATATTAAATGCTTCCTTTTTACTCGATAAAACAATGCAAATAATTTATTAATCTTTTGGCCGAAGACTGTGGAACAAAGCAATTATGACTTCATAATATATGTGTGAAACATTGAATTGCGTCATTATAAATAATTGTAGCTTTATGAATAAGCTTTTATAAAATTTAAAAAAAAACTACTGAAGTGTTTTAAAAGTAAAATTTTATTATTCAATCTGAAAATATTATTCGAAGAAAAAAGATGTATTTTAAGAAATATGTATTTCAGCATATCCGTATAAAATAATTGCTGTTTTTTCCACATGGTGTTATATTTTGAAGAGCATAGACTACAATATATACATTGAATTAAAACTGCGTATGAATCAATTCTGGTCTCCTCCTTCTAGTTTTATATGTTGATGCATTTAGACTTCAATATATATTCTTAAAGCATTGAATTAAAACTGAGTACAGAATATTTCAGGTGAATGCATGAAGAATGTAGACTTCCGTATGTTAACCGAACCAAGCTCCAGAAACATTGAATTAAAACTGCGTGTAAAATTCTGGTCTCCAACTTGTGTTTTTTGTGTGGTGAAAAATATAGACATCTGTATATAAACAGGAGGAAATTACAGAAACATTGAATTAAAACTTATTATGGAGTAATTCTTGTTTTCAGCTTATGGTGTTCATGTGTTGGAGAATATAGACTTCAGTATATATACATAAAACATTGAATCAAAATTGCGTATGGAATAATTCTGGACGAATTTCCTCATACAAACCAATGGATTAGAGCAAATATACCTGCTGTAAATATGCGATGTACCAGTTTCTTTATTTTTGCGATGAAGTGATAAATAGTAAGTAATGTGACTTTAGTTTTGATTTTGATTTTATTCCAAAGCCACTTAAACCAATCTTAGAATGGCGGAGCCTAGAAATGTATCAAAACTAGTGAAATGCGGACATTATTGTCGAGTTTTCATGACTCATTTGTTTTCGCATGTTGGGCTATGTGGCTTAGTGGTTGGCTATGCTATAGTCGGAGCCCTCACATTCGAGTATCTTGAAGCCCCAAATGAAATCAATCAAAGATCTACAATACAAGGGTATCGGGACAAATGTTTGAAAGACATGTGGAATGTTACCGAAACTCTTAATGTCCTGTATGAGAAGAATTGGACAATCTTAATGGAAAAAAGACTTAAACAGTTTGAAAATGATGTTGTTCATGCTGTTAAAAATGAAGGATATGATGGAAAAGACAGTTCGGACACCGAACTGCAGTGGTCTTTTTCTGGAGCGTTGTTGTACTGCATCACTGTTATCACAACCATCGGTAAGTTTTTATTTTCTTTATACTTTTAATGCACGCACAATTGAATTTTTTTTTTAAATTAAGCAAAATGAAACGAATGATATTTTTACTTATATGAATTCCAATTTTGGTCAAAGCCATTGAGTCAAGCCGCTATGTCTTAGGGGATAAAGTGTTCGCCTTCCAATGAGGCGAACCAGGTTCGAATCCCAGTCGATATGAATTCCGCATCCAACTTGCACCGACCACAGTGTTGACGTTAAATATCCTCAGTGGTAGACGGATCACGGGTTAGAGACCCCTTGCCGTCAAGCTAACCGTGGGAGGTTCTCATGGTCTTCCTCTTCATGTAACGCAAATGCGGGTTAGCTCTATCAAAAAGTCCTCCGCGAAGGCAAATTTCTCCCAATACTCGATCCAGGAGTTTCTTTGTTTTCTGGATTGGGTTCAAAATTATAAGGCTATGGAGTTGAATGTTAGCAGTCGTAAACCATAAAATTGTGTCGGTTATTCAACGACAGTTATAAAGAAGAAGAAAAAAAGAAGAAAAAAGCCATTGCGTCAATAGCTAAAATGCTTAACTCGACCTAAGACTTCCTGAGAGCTCAACTGAGAAAATAATCTCAGATCTAACAAAAATTTTACGAAGATCTAAATCTAAAAAATGCAGATCTTAAAAATGTAGAAGTATGTTTATAACTGCTTTAATCGTCAAACAGATCTTACATATATCGACAGTAAACAAATTTTTACATATATATATTTTTATTACTAATCAAATGTTAACATTAAATTACGTATTGCTACTTTTTATTTGCGAATATAATTAAAGGTATTTTATTTGAAATTTCATTTCATATTATAAAATAACAAATAAAAGTAATAGAAAAGTAATGAAAATTAAAAAAACAAATTTTATTTTGTAACCGTAGCTGAACAGCCAACTCAATATTAAGTTTAAGACTACCAATTTTCAACTCCGTATACTTGTAAATTTGAACCCCATTCAGAAGACAAGGGAACTCCTGGATAAAGTATTGGAAAAATTTGTCTTCATGGAGGACTTTTTGATGAAAGTAACCAGCATTTGCACCACATGGAGAGGAAATCCACGATAACCTCCCACTGTAATGGGATTCTAACCCATGATCTGACTATCACTGGGGATATTTTATGCCAGCACTTTGCTTGGGGCGATCAGGTTGCGGATTTTGTATCCACCAAACATCGATGAGAATCGAACCCGGGTCACCTCCATCTCCTGAGCCACTACGACTCAAAACATATTGTGCAAACATATTTGTATAAAACATTGCGATAGTGTTGCATATTTGTTAAAACTTGCAAATCTTATGAAAAGATTCATCAGTGAATATGCATGAAATAAGAAACTATTTAAATTGATGCTTAAAATTTGCATATCTTTTTAATTAACTGTGGAAATTTAGCAAATTTGATTTTGTAATAAAACAAAAGACTAATAGGTGGTTTTTCATTAACTAGGTATTAATGGTTCAAAGGGTGATCTAAAATAAGCTAATTTATTGACTCTAAGAATTAATTAAGTTTTGAAATCAAATACAAAAACTCTTTCTCTAAATAATCATTCGGTAATTATTTCTCTTTTTTCCCGACAAATCTTGTTCTTGGAATTCAATATATAAAATATAACCGAAAGCTGAAATATATAACTTTATAGTTTTATCAAAAAGGTTGTCGAAAGTAGTTAATGTTGCCGACCAGGTGGCCAAGTGGTCAGCATGTCTGACTGTGGAGCCATTGACCGCGGGTTCGAATCCTGCTCAGGGCATGGATGTTTCTTTCTCACTCTGTGTTTTATGTCCTTTCCTCTTTGTGTGAATGTGACCCGCTCTATAAACGGGTTTGTGGTTGTGTGACGTGGTGCTCCGCCGGCGTGGCTTCGCTACAGGTGCCCACTGGGTAACGAGAAGAGAGTAGCAGTTCTGGCATTTCTGTAGCCAATGGAACAAACCTCAAGTGCCCACCATTAGAAAGAAAAAAAAGTAGTTAATGTGAATTTTTTGCAAAAGCCACTATGTCTCGTGAATTTCTTAAACAAATCGAAATCTCTTAATCTCTTTGCACGCCATTATGAAATATGTTCATCCAAAAAAGGATTATCTAATGATGGTATGTTCATCCAAAAATATCCGACTTGCACCGACCACAGTGCTGACACAGAACATCCTCAGTGGTAGACGAATAGTGGGTTAGAATCCCCTTGCAGTCGGGATAACCGTTAGAGGTGTTCGCGACTTTCCTCTCCATACAACGCATGTTCCATCCGAAAGTCCTCCACAAAGGCTAGTTTGTCTCAACGCTTGATTCGGGAGTTCCCTCGGTTGATTCGGTTGGGTTCAAATTTCTAAGGCTATGGAGTTGAATATTAATGGTCGTAAATTCAGAATTGGGTCGGCTGTTCAACGCTGGTTACAAAATAAAAATAAAATTACAGCTATCCGCCATATTTTGAAGGTTAAAAATCCAAATCCAGTAAAAGATTGCATTTTAAGAAAGACTACGTGTTCATATTGCGTTGCAGGTAAATTATATGTATTTATTAGTGAATTAGCTGATTAATTAATAGTTGAAATCAACTCGTAAATCCATTATGATTGACTCTTAGTTTCAGTCGTAGACTTGATCGTTAGACCACAAGTTATTTAAGGTGATGAATGTTTTTGGGTGGGGTTCTTAGTGTTTGTCTCTTAACTAATCTTCATACCGTTAGTGTTTGCTATTTCTTTGACTTTAAAATATTGCATAATTTTAACTCAAATTGTATTATTAATACACATGTTACTCATGGTAATGTCTTGATACTTTTTTTTGTGGGTTCACAGTACTTGTAGATGTTTACACAAAATATACAAGACAGTTTAACAGTAAACATAGCAATTTAATAGCTTGCAATAAGCCGTTTTTTTCTTCCGTTTGTTTTGAAAGTGATAATATCATCTTTTGTTTTAATTTTAAAGTCATTTTTAAGCTTGTTAACAAAATCAAATTTAAGTCTCTTAAGGATCTTATTAGTTTTGATAATCGCTGGGGCATTTAACTCATTCCTTTCCTGGGCGAGCTTGGCTACATCGGATAAAGTAGAGGACCTTTAAAATTTAGACTTAAGGAGCACGATAGATATGTCTGATATCAAGAATACGAGAAATCATCAACTGTACATTGTTGGAATCTTGGGCATTAATTCACTTTCGACAATGCCAAAATTATTATTACACTACTCACATCAGCTCATCTTGATGTCTTGGAATCCTGTTTCATTCATATGATTGCTGATTCCCTTGTTAACGACATTAGCTCTTCACCATCTCTCCATAGCAAGTAGGAATGCATTTTACCCTGATTTGCCCTTCTTGGCCGCTCTGGTTTTTATTGTTCTGTTTCTTAAATTTACTTATCCATTTTTCGTTGGCAGCTTTTCATTTTATATTTCATATCATTTTGTTTCATTTACACTTGGCAAGTCTTGAAAATGGGGGCTTGAAACATGTCTAATGTTATTTCCTATTTATATTTTTTTGACAATAATATATTTTTACTTATATTTTTGTGATTGTAGTGAATGAAGTTTTTAATCAGATTAAAAAAAAAAGAAAGCTAGTAAAAACTTTAAACTATGGTATTCAGTGCCTTGAACAATTCAATTCTTTAAAAGTAAAATTAATGTTCCTGTTTTCTTTTCATACTGATAAAGATGTATCATTGTGACATCATAAATTGGATAGGTTTTTAATAAATTTTTCCATTTGTGATTTTAAACGTTGTTTTTAATGAAATTTAATTTCATCAAAATAATTTCTGTAATTTTATTCATCATTTAGTTTTTCCTCAATATTATTTATCAGAAGATAAGTACTTATGAGTAAGTACATATTAAGTGAGCCAACTCTAAATTTATAAGCTAAAAATTTTATTGAAGATATCAAAATATCTACGAGGAAATAATGTACCATTAACATGTTGAATGCCTCACTATTTTTAAATGGCTTGCCCGTCTGGCCAAACGGTAAATAACTACAAACTAAATTTGCAAACATCAGACACATTTACTAGATTTTTAAAAGGTTTAGCATGACTCATCAGAAAAAAGTGGTGAATATTATAAGCCTGCGAATTGCTTGGAAATAGTGGTGGATAAAAATCTACTAAATTAAATTTATTAAACGAAGAATCACAATTAATAAACTACCACTTGAAAATATTTATTCGCTGTCCGTAGCAAGTTGGCATCTCTGTGTTTATAAATAAAACTATTTTTGTGTGATCTATATTGCATTAATTCCTTCAAACCATTTTAGTAACGATAATAATATTAAAAAAAATTAAAAATTTACTAGAATTATGTGTTTCTAATAATCTTGGCTTCGGGGTCACCGTCACGGGGGTCACCGGTGACCCCCATGGAGCTACGAACAAACTCCGTGTTGATCACCGGTGACCCCGATTGCATTCATTCTGTTACACGTGTTAAAAGAAATCGAACTCTTTCAAAAAAGAAATTTTCGCACCATGTACCTCCAGATATACTTACATGCGTTTTTTTTTTTTTATTTCTATACTTCCACCCCTTATATATTTTTACTTCCAAAAATAATTGCAAAAAAATGCAGGTTAAGCTTTTAATTTTCGAAAAAATTAATAATTTTTCTGAGAATGTATGGCATATAGCTTCCAACTTTCCCTATAAGTGAAGAAAACTACTTTCCAGTCGCTTCCAAGTGAAGATAATAATGCTGTTGTGTTTTATAAATTTGCTAGTACTTAATAACATCGCCGAATATTAAGTTAATAATCCCATGAAACTGAAGTAGAAAGATACACTTTAGATGAGACTTCATATACTTTAAGAGATATAAAGCAGGTAATTAGGGTTCTTCGCTCAAAAATAGACACCCATTTGTAAGACTAGCCAGGCGTGAATGAGGAAAACAAAAATTATTTCATACGAGAAATAATAGTTTTTCCAACCAAAAAAATAGAAA